CGAGTGAGCGGGGCAGTTTGGGGAAGTGGTCCCGGCCGGGAGCCGGGAGGTGCGGCCACAGCAGGTGCCGGCGTGGACCATGCTGCTGTCTCTGATGCTCCACACGTTCTCTCTGCGCTTCGTGCTGCCGGGCGCGATGCTCCTGGGCACGGCCCCCACCTACATCCTGGCCTGGGGGGCCTGGAGGCTGCTCTCCTGCTTCCTGCCCACCCGCTTCTACCATGCGGTGGACGACCGGATCTATAGCATCTACCAGAACATGGTGCTCTTCTTCTTCGAGAACTACACCGGGGTGCAGGTGAGGCTCCTTCTGTCCAATGACTGCGGCCGCCCCTCCTGCCTCCCAATCTCTCCACCCGAGGCCCCCGCGGGGTCTCCGGGCAGTTTTTTCAATTTCAAACTAGCCACGTCGCCTGACCCCACTCCATCCCACTCCACTGGGGCTTAAGGTCGTTCTGTTTTATCTGCAGATCGGACCTCAAGAACACCAGCTACCTTAACCCAGCCTCCCACAGTGAGGGAAGTTTCCTGGTCTTAAGCTTTGGTCCAGTGCTGCACGCAGTCTTCTGTGGTCACTGGGGAGTTGTAGTAACATTGGTGACACTGCAAGTGAATATAATCCGCGTGTAGACCCAAGTGTTCGTTTTACCCCAGTTTTGAGATATTATCTGTTTAGCAAGGCACCTAAGTGCAGATGAACATTGAAATAGGGCAAACATTTGACATTTTCTGGAGTTGTGCCCAAAGAGATGGTAATGCTGCAACATGAGATGTTCGAACTAAAAGTGTGCTTCTAAATCTGTTCTTAGAGGACCTCTATTGCAACTTACACTGAGCAAGAAGTACATTGTTTTGCATTCTTCCCAGGGTAAGTGATAGCTAGGTGAGGAAATGAATACATTTGTTGCAATAGAAGCCTTACTGTCGCCACAAAGTTCTTGCCAACTGACTAAGCTTAATATGTGGCGAATCCTTTGAGTGCTGTTTCTTTTTTTTGCAGAGATTGGATTTGTAGATTGAATTTGCAAAACTCAGACAATGAAAGTAAAAGGCCCTCAACATTTGGGTTATTTGAAGTCTCATAAAGACAAACGAGTTGTTTTTTATTTCATAGTTTGAGAAAAAGCTTGGTTATTCCTAAAATCCAGTTAGTCTTTATTTTTTGTCGGGAGCAGAAGGAAGGAGAATGGGAAGGTATTGTTCTGTCTTTAAAAACCCTTTTCCCCCCTGGAGCAGCTGTTTTCGCCCTGCTGCAGGGTTGAGCTACCAGTTGCACTGCTCATGATCCTTCATGGCTGCATTTGGCAAAGTTGGAAGCTCTATGGAGCAATGGGAATAGGAGAGGCTAGAGGCAAAATTTAAACCTGTTTCAGCAAGTGTTTCGTGGAAAGACAAACCACTCTTCCGGTTATGGTTTTCTGGTAATTTTTTTTTTTTTTTTGGTTTTTAGTTCAAAACTTTATGGTTTTCTGGTAATTTTTGTTGCTGCTGTTCATTTTCTCTCTTTTTAAAAATCATTTTATTGGGGGCTCCTACAACTCTTATCACAATCCATACGTACATCAATTGTGTCAAGCACATTTGTACATTTGTTACCCTCATCATTCTTAAAACATTTGCTCTCCATGTAAGCCCCTGGCATCTGCACCTTAGTTTTCCCCTTCCTACCCCGTTTCCCCCTCCCTCATGATGATTTATGAATTATATTTGTCATATCTTACACTACCCGATGTCTCCCTTCACCCATTTTCTGTTGTCCGTCCCCCAGGGAGGAGGTTATATGTAGATCCTTGTAATTGGTTCCCCCTTTCCACCCCACCTTCCCTCCACCCTCCCCTATTGCCACTCTCACCACTGGTCCTGAAGGGATCATCCATCCTGGATTCCCTGTGTTTCCAGTTCCTATCTGTGCCAGTGTACATCCTCTGGTCTAGCCAGACTTGTAAGGTAGAATTGGGATCATGATAGTGGGGGGAAGGAAGCATTTAGGCAATGGAGGACAGTTGTATGTTTCATGGGTGCTGTACTGCTCATCTCTTCCTTACAACCTTTCTGTAAGGGGGTATCTAATTGTCTACAGATCTGCTGTGCATCTCCACTCCGCACTCCTCCTCATTCACAATGATAAGATTTTTTGTTCTGATGATGCCTGATACCTCATCCCTTCTACACCACATGCCTTCGACACCTCGTGACCACAGAGGCTAGTGTGCTTCTTCCATGTGTCCTTTTTTGCTTCTGAGCTAGATGGCCGCTTGTTTACCTTCAAGCCTTTAAGACCCCAGATGCTCTATCTTTTGATAGTTGGGCATCATCAGTTTTCATTACCACATTTGCTTATGTACCCGCTTTGTCTTCAGGGATCATATTGGGAAGGTGAGCATCATGGAATGCCAGTTTAATAGAAGAAAGTGTTCTTACATTGAGGAAGTACTTGAGTGGAGACCCAATGTCCATCTGCTACCTTAATACTAAACCTATAAATATATTTACATAGATCTATTCCCTATTGTTATATAAAATATATTTACAAATGTACATGTCTGTACTTAGACCTCTATAAATGCCCCTTGCTTCCTGGTTCTTTCCTCCTCTTTCCTTTGACTTTCCTCTTGTCCCACTGTCATGCTCAGCCTTCATTTAGGTTACAGTAACTGTCGGTTACATTACCCTTGATCACGCCAACCCAGGGACAAGGGAAAAACAACTGATGCAAATTGGTGGTGAGGAGGGTGTAGGAGGCCAGGTAGGGCGTGATCAAGGGTTTTCTGGTAATTTTAAGATGAATCTCATTTTATTTATTTAATTTATATTTATTTTTATTAAATGTTTTAAAAATAGTTTTATTGACCTATAATTCACATATCATACAATTCAAATGCTTAATTTCTTTTTTTTTATTAATCATTTTATTAGGGGCTCATACAACTCTTCTCAAAATCCGCACATACATCAGTTGTGTAAAGCACATTAGTACATTCATTGCCCTCATCATTCTCAAAACATTTGTACTCCACTTAAGCCCCTGGCATCAGCTCCTCATTTTTCCACTCCCTCCCTGCTCCCTCCTCTCTAATCTCATTTTAAATTCCCTCTTAATTCACACTTCATCATTTCTATGTGCCTTTTAAAATTCCCTCTTAATTCACACTTCATCATTTCTATGTGCCTCACCAAGTTCTCTAAACTTAGGGCCACATGATAGTTAAGTATCAAATTCACATCAGATGACAGCTGTCCTAGGCTGGTGTACAGACTTAGAAAGTAGGTGCAAAATTAGTCACCCCTTAGAAAGCAATTCTGTTTCAGTTTAAAAAATAATGGTATGTTCCACACGATATAGTGCATGAAGTACCATAGAAATTTTTGTTTGGCAAATTTATTTTTAAAAATTATTGTAAAATTTCACATTGTTGAGCGCCATCAGCTTTCTTCGTCTTGATGCCTTATATCCTTAAGTGGATGGTCATCTCCCATTTTCCCCCATTGTGAACTCTGCTGCTGTGAACATGGGAGCGTATACATCCACTTGTGATGTGTCTCTTATTCTTTAGGTGATAGACTATAGCCCACAGAGCAAGTGAAGTTGAGTGCTTAGAGCTAGAGACTGGCTTGTGGAGTGATGTGTCTCTGGGTACTTACTGTATATACTCGTGTATAAGCTGAGTTTTCAGCATATTTTTTATGCAGTTTCAGTGGGAAAATTAGGTGCTCTGGCTGATAATTTGGGTCAACTTATACTTGAGTATATGCGGTAATTGGGGGAGCTGGATTTACTGACCTACAGAGCTGGAGCTTTAGCTAGCTTATATTCAAGAGTAAGTTAGAGAGTCTCTTCTGATATTAAGTTTGGTTGTTTCTTTGTCGTGTTGTTTTTTATTAAATACTTTTATTGGGGCTCTTACATCTCCATCACAATCCATTTGTCTTAGATATCGCTAAATTGGTTTCCTTAATAGCTGTACATACCTACAGGTCCACCAGCAATGGAGGAGAGTTGCTATCTCCCCAGAGCCCCTCCAACACTTGTTACTTTCTGATTTTTTGAATTGGGCTATCTTTGAGAGTGTTAGGTGGTATCTCATAGTTGTTTTAATTTGCATTTCTCTCATGGCTAATGATTGGGAACATTTTCTCATATGTTTATTGGCTATTTGGATTTCTGCCCTTGTGAAACTTCTGTTCAGGTCCTTTGTCCACCTCCTCAGTGGGCAGTTAGTTTTTCTCTTATGCAAAAGTATTGTAGATTTTAGTAATAAGGCCTTTGTGTGATGTGTCATTGCTAAAGGTATTTTCCCAGTCAGTGGGCTCTCACATTATTCTCTTGATGAATTCTTTCGATGTACACAGATGACTTATCTTCAGTATATCCCACTTGTCTTTTTGTGACTCCTCTGTATCCTTCCCTATTTCTGATAGCCTATGTATTCCCTGTGCCAAGGTTCTCAGGTTTATCCCAATTCCCTCATTAATGGCCCTAATTGTCTGGGGTTTTACCCTAAGGTCTGTGATCCATCTTGAGTTTATTGTGCATGGAGTGAGGTAAGGGTCTTGCTTCATATTTCTGCAGGTAGATATCCATTTTTTCCCGTGCCACTTATTGAAGAGGGCATCTGCTTCCTATTTGATATTTTTGGGGCCCTTATCAAAAATCAGTTGTCTGTACGCTGTTGTTTTTATTTCTGGGTTTTCAGCTCTTTTCCTTTGGTATGAATATCTGTCATATCAGTACCACACTGTTTTGACCACTGTGGCTGTGTAAGTAGGTGCTACAGTCACGTAGGGCAAGCCCTCCCACTTTGTCCTTCTTGAGGAGTTCTCTGCTAATTCTGGCCTTCTTCCCTTTCCATATGAAGTTGGTAGTCAGCTTTTCCAATTCTTTGAAGAAGGATGATTCATACTGGGATAGCATTGAACTTATATAGTGCCTTGGGCAGAACCAACATCTTTACTTTGAGTCTTCCTATCCACAAACATGGGATATTCTTCCATTTGTTGATGTCACTCTTGGTTTCTTATAATGGTGTTCTTTAGTTTTCCTCATATAAATCTTTTTTTTTTTTTAGTCAGGTATATCCCTAGATATTTCGTTTTGTGCTTGGCTATTATAAAGGGTACTACCTTTTTAATCACTTCTTCTGTGATCTTGTCTGATGTGTACAGCAGTCTGATAGACTTTTGTTTGTTGATCTTGTATCCTGCTAATCTGCCATATTCCACTGTCGCTTCCAACACTCTACTTGTGGCGTTTGGGGCTTTTCTATATAAAAATCAGAATAACAATAGTTTTGCCTCTTC